TGAGACTGACTGGCCTGTAGTGTAGTAATGTCATAGTAAAATTTTGATCTTACATGTAAGAATATATGTAAGAATCTTATCTATAAGAATATGATAATAGCAGCAACAGAATCACACTTTATTTTGAATCGTTTGAGGTAGGCTTGATTTAAGTTATCACAAGAGTCTAAGTGTGCTTATTGCCTAAGCCCCCATTAAAGTGGAAGCCTGGCCAACAGAGGCAGTGGAGACCAGACAACCCTCTCCAGTCAGACTATCTGTGCTTTAGCAGAACTGCCTTCTGCTCTCTTTCTTGACCTCCATTCACACACACACCCAGAGAGCAGCAGGGATCAGCCATACCAACATCTGTTTGATAAATTTCAGGTCCAGCTGCACTTCTCTGAAAATCAGATGCGCTCAGCTTCCAATGCCAGTTTAGTCATTGAAGCTGCTGCCAACTCCTTCTGTGCTGTGAGGGCAGTCGATCAGAGTGTGCTGCTCCTGCAGCCTGAGACAGAACTGTCTGCGGAAATGGTAAGCTGCCCAAACAAATGTGTTGTCTCCTTCCACCGCGGCACTGCTTCCTCATCCTCTGTTACAGTGTCTCTCTGGTTGAGACTGCTAGACTCTGTTAGACTTCTGTGGCTTTTTGCATGTGCTGGTCATAAACCTTCTATGGCAATCTAATCTGATCTATGGCGTCTAACAGGCAATGCAAAGCTTTTGTTTCTTGGCAGCTGGAAATCGTCTTTCACATAGGATTTGGTTTAATCAGTGACTGGTCCCTGGCAGCATGGGACCAGTGTATCAGCCACTCCTCCCAGTTTTGTGTCATCATCAGACTTGCTGAGGGTACAGTTTGCCCCATCACCCAAATCGTTAATGAAGATGTTGAACAGGATTGGATCCCGTATTGACTCCTGGGACAGAGCACCAGTTACTGGCTACCAACCAGACTTTGTGCCACTGATCACCACCCTCTGGGTCCAGACAGTTTTCAATCCAGGAAACAGGGCATTGTTTCAAACAGGACATCATCTCAGCTCTGGCAATTTGCAGCACATGACAGTGTAACCAGAATTGATCTTTACACACACACAGGTTTTGTGTTTCCTTCTCCTTCACAGATATACGGCCTGCATCCTCTGCAAGACTTTCAAGGCTACATCTTCAATGGGCTCAATCTAGAAGATGACCCCCAAGACCCATGTGTCTCATCTGACAACATCTTTCACAAAGGATTGTATTACACACCTGTAATGTCTGGATTAGGCCCAGACGTATATCTGTTCCTCAGGGTAAACGTCCTGTACATTACTTAAATCTGGTGAAGTGAGTTTCCACTTATGTAGCTTTAGATATTTCTGCAAATGATGCTGTTAGTAAAACTCAGAAATGACAAACTCTCTTCATGGACATATATTCTCCATTGACTCTGGTGCTTACTGTGGTTTTCCAGCATGCACAAAGCTCCCACAAGTCTCTGCACAGATGTCCCAGGGCATCTCTGTGGTGGAAAGGCAGTAATGGGAAAGAGGGAGGAATGGAATAAACTTCAGCCACACTATGGTTATGACTAACACCAAAATGTGTTTTTTACAGGATATGGGCATGAAATTTTTTACCAACTCAAAGGTTCGGCAACCAGTTGTGTGTACTGCAAGACCTCCACCATATTTCCTGAATGCAGGATCCATGGCTGCTGCACACCACATCAAATCGTCAGGTAATATAGGGGACAGGAAAGAGATGTTATTTTTCTCCTTAAATGAAGTGGTGTTCATGTGGCATGGAGAGCGCTCCAGAATCAAATTGGTATTGATAATGAATATTGGTCTGGAACAGAATGAGATGGCTTAGCGTAATGGCTGATGCCCAAAAAAGCCTTTTAGGTCTACACTTCTGATTCATGTCCAGTTTCATGCTGGGAATTGTTGGCCATTGGTAGTGTGTCACACAAAACTAGCACAGTCGACACTGATTCCCTTCTGACCAGAGCTTGTTTGAAAAGGCAGTGTAACAGTGTGGACAGCAAACAGATCTAAGAGCTAAGAGACCTGAATTCTAGCCCTAGGTCTTATGCTTGTATCTGGAGACTAAAGTGCTACAAGTAATATTTTCCTTCTCTGCGATACCAGGTGATACCTAACTCAGAGATACATAAGTGACATTAATTAATATTTGTATGGCACTACTGATAGTCTCAATTAGAAAGAAATGGGTGAACATTAATCATCCTTCATACTGGCCCATGCATCTTAAAACCTGTCCTTTCTGGAAGTCTTCCTTATATGAACCAGGTTGGACTAAATTCCCATTATCTCTTACCAGCTGAAGTTGCTAGAGAGGAACGTGGGAAGAGACTCATCCTTGAGACTATTCGGGAATTCTTCCCTGAAACTTGGATTTGGGATATAGTCCTAATTAAGTGAGTACTGTTTCTTCCCTCTCTTCTCTTTGCTTTTAAGAGTCACCAGATGTGTCCCCTGATGTCCTTTAAGGTGGCAATTCCTTGCCACTTCTTACATTTGGCCTGGAAGACCAAGCTTTTTCAATCATCACCTGACCTCCTGTCCTTATCATTTCCATGATAAAATTGCACTGAGATGATCTGGGTGATAAGTTCAGGGAGGACTTGAATGTGGGATTTCTGCAGACAGAATGGGGATGTTGCTGATTTCCAAACACCGTTGTCTCTACTAAGAAGCAAGCTATATGAAACTTACCCTTTCTAAACTCATCCTTTATCCATTTCAATCAGCTCTACTGGAAAAGCCAACGTGTCATACGCTATCCCTGACACCATTACCAAATGGACGGCCAGCGCCTTCTGTGTGGAAGAGGATATTGGATTTGGTATGTCTGTGCCTGCCACTCTGACAGCCTTCCAGCCTTTCTTTGTGGACCTGACCTTGCCATACTCTATTATCCGAGGAGAAGATTTCCTGCTCAGAGCCAATGTCTTCAATTACCTTGACCACTGCATTAAGGTACACACTCTAAGACCTTACCTCATCTCCAAAGAAGCTACAGTTTTTGTAGCCTAAAAAAAAAAAAAAAAGGAATTATTGGTGTAGATGACTGGATCTGTCCCTGCACTTCATTGATGTATTGCTCATTCTATCTGACAACCTATCCTGACCAGATCTGTCCTCCTAAGCCACTACAAAGCAGAGAGAGATCTGTGTGAACTATCACTAGGATGGGTGCATAAACAACTGTCTTGAGAGATCCATAGAGGAAGGAAACAAGTGCTTTGCAGAGTATCATTCACCACCCTCAGCCATGCGAGCCATCGGTGGTTTTACTGGGGTCTTTTCTTCAGGGATATATGTGAAAGTGTGAAGAAGTGAGGGCTTGTGCTTGCCAAGCAGAAGAAAGTGGGAAGAGCAAGAAGTGGGGAGCAGACAAACCTTTCTCTGGGGTGAAAGTTCCTGGAAACACCAAATCAGGGAGTAAAAATTCCAGTACTTGCCCTACAGAGTCCAGTTAGAGGCTCTATTGCTCCCAGACACTGGGCGACTGTGCTCTCAATATTCAGGACTTTCCAGGCAAAATGCCTCCAGACCACAGGTGCACTGCACTTCTGCATGGAGGGAGCTTACACACAAAGGGTAATGGAAGAAAGAAAAACAGGGTTCTTGGTTTTGCCTTCTTGTTTCTCATGTTGTAGCTAGGAAACCTAATAAAAAAAAAAAAAAGGCAGGTGTAGAGTCTAGATTTCTTCTGCTTTACTTGAATGCTGAAAATCAGCTCTCCAGTGCCACGAGATCATCAGCAAAGGAGGAAAAATCAAGACACAATTCAGGAATGTTTTTTTCTAAACTCTGTTAACAGTTTGACCTAACAAAACATGAAGGCCTAGGGTTGTCAACAACCTAGAAAACAAGATCTCAGTCACCCCAAGCCTTAAATCTGTTAACACTGGACATAAATAGCAACCATCTCACCCTCCTCTAACTATGAAGCACCATTTGCCTATGATACAAAATCTTCATCCCATTGCACTCTTTTTTCTGTTCGCAGATTAATGTTTTGCTGTCAGATTCCCTTGATTATCAGGCCAAACTCATTTCCCCAGAGGATGATGGATGTGTATGTTCCAAGCAAAGAAAAACCTATGTCTGGAATATTTTTGCTAAAGAAATTGGTAAGTGACTTTCAATGTACACGGTTTTCTGTCCTGAGGCTGATACTAATCAATTTATACCTCACCTGAAAAACTTAATCCTCTTCCAATGTGGAGAACTTGGTTTATCACTGGTCTTTGCAGCTGTCTGGGCTAAAGAGCTTGTCCACAATTGCAGTGTGTTTTATCATTCCCATTTTCAGAGATCAGTTCTCTTCCCATATGTCTCACCCGAGTGACTGAACATTCATTATGTTGCACTATGTAATATCTGTAGATATCCATTATCCGATGAAATTTCTTACTTTAGCCACCATTCCGCATGATAGAGGTCCATTTTTTTCTCTTTTTCTGTTACTATTTAAGGTAATGTCGTATTCAGCAGTAGTGCAGAAACCAAAGATGATGGAGCTTGTGGAGACAAAGCACCTAGGAACATCAGTATTGACTACAAGGACACCCAGATCAGAACACTGTTGGTTGAGGTACTGCTGACAGCTCTTACTGATTGCCCTCTACTCCCTTCCACGAGGAAAGAAAAATGCATCAAAAGTACGAAAAGCAAGTAAAAGTTTTTCAGATTCCCTAAAGAATTCCTGATTTGGCACTACCTGCATCTAGCTGGGACAGGGTCTGGCTGTTAAGTCTAAGACCAAGTCCACTCCCATCTGATATCCTCTTCCATGAGGACCAGCTGTGGACCCCTCAACATCAGAAGGATATAGACCAGTTGGAATGAGTCTAGAGGAGGGCCACGAAGATGCTCCGAGGGCTGGAGCACCTCTCCTATGGTGAAAGGCTGAGAGAGTTGGGCTTTTTCAGCCTGGAGAAGAGAAGGCTCCAGGGAGACCTTATAGCACCTTCCAGTGCCTGAAGGGGCCACAAGGAAGCTGGGGGGGACTTTTTACAAGGGCCTGTAGTGACAGGACAAGGGGTAACGGGTTTAAATTGAAAGTGGGGAGGTTTAGATATCAGGAAGAAATGCTTCCCGGAGAGGGTGGGGAGGCACTGGAACAGGTTGCCCAGAGAAGCTGTGGATGCCCCATCCCTGGAAGTGTTCAAGGCCAGGCTGGATGAGGCTTGGAGCCACCTGGTCTAGTGGAAGGTGTCCCTGCCCATGGCAGGGGGGTTGGAACTGGGTGGTCTTTAAGGGCCCTCCCAACCCAAACCATTCTGTGATTCTATGACACTATGATTAGTGGGTAAACGCACATCTCCCTCATGCAGAGGGGAAACTGGAAATGAAGGACTCCCTCTGATGGGAACTCACTTTTAGTAGCAGCCACATCAAGTATGAACTTGTGAACTGTTGCATCAATTCAGCTGTCTGATGATGCAGGAGGATGGGGCAGTGGGTGTCTATTCTGTTACTGCATGTCTTCTGCATGCTTTCTTCTCATCTGCTGCATGTGTCTCTTCTTCCCTTCACTGCGTAGCCTGAAGGCATCAGAAGGGAAAAGACCCAAAACTTCCTAATCTGTACAAAAGGTAAGAGGTTTATATGCTGCTGTCCTGAGAGGAAATGAAAGGAAGGTTGGAGTTTGCACTCCTTCCTGCAGTGCTCGTTGATGCCGTTCCATCCCTGTTCCCCAGAGCTGCTGCTTAAATGGCAGCCAGTGTGAGTGCTTATAGTTCAATTCTCTGCTGCAACTTTCTGTGTGATCTGGTGCACGACATTTAGGCAGTGTCTGTGCCGCAGTCAACCGTGTTCCAGTGCTAGAGGAAGGATGCTATGACGCTGTCAGAGGAAGATGTCCTTTTTGTTCAAAGTCTATTCTGTGTTTCATGCAGTCACGTTTGCTGTCCTCTGTTCCTAGGATAACTGTGGCTTGCAGCTTTCCACTTCTAGTGGGAATGGAAGAGGGAATATAATGTTGTCTTCCATACATCTTGGTGCTGACTGCAAACAGCTTCCAAAGTTTCCTGGAAGCTCTGCCTAAAAGGGGCGCAACAGAGCCCTGACTCTCACCAACCATCTTTTCCCAAAGATATCCCCTGGGTTCACAAACACTACAGCCTGGGAGCACCAGTTGTACCCTGTTCAGCTGATTTCTGTTGAGCAATGACAGTTACCACGCAATTTGGTCTGTTTTTCACAGTTTTGGTTATGCTGTGCCCCCTTCTCTATTGATGTTCTTGGAGACAGCTGTGAGTTTCTCTCTATCCCTCTCTCTCGAGTGCAGTTTTGCACTGTGCAATTTCTACCGGGAGCATTTCACTACTGTAACCAATGTTCCTATACAAATGACACAACACGCAATATTTTTGTCCCCAGATGATGTGGTTATTCAAGATGTTGCTCCAGATCTACCTACACATGTGGTGAAAGGATCAGCCAGAGCTTCCTTTTCTGTTGTTGGTAAATACACAGTTAATAAAGCATAAAAAGAAATCAAATTAAAAAATATCAAATGAAAGTTTTTTCAGGATTCAAAATGTGAGCGTCCACTCTTTGTGTGAGAAACTTGTTAGCAAAGAGACTGATTTGCACAGTGTCCAGCAATGCTCTTTGCTGCATCAGAGAAATTAAATTTAAATGGTTTACTATTGCATTTGAATGTTTTGTTCTGAAGTAACACAGTTGTGAGTTATAAGCTCAGTCAGACCCAGGCCAGTAAGACTTTTTTCCAGACAAATCAGAGTTGCTTGTGGAATCTTTTTAGTCTTTCCCTGGAAATAACGCATACTTGGTTACAAGACTACTACTCATAAAATCTTTGTAATGTTGGTGATTTCAGCTCATTACAGAAATACCTGGCTGGGTCTGCACTATCTTTGCTAAAAATTGCAATTCAGAGGCTGTCTACGATACATCTGCATAAACAATGTCACTTTTCAACATCAGTTGTTAATTCTGCAATACATTGTTCACTGTAGCATCTCTGAGCTGTTCCACTTCCCTCCTCTGGAAACATAAGTTTCCTGGAAGTTTCCATTTCTAATAAGTATCTGCATCATGTGGCAATAAAATAGGTAGTGTTTCTGATGTGGACATTTTAGACTAAGTAAGGAGAGGCAGGAAAGGGATTTCTTTGACGACTGCAAAGCAGAACAGAACAAATCACTCAATCAGCACTGAAAGCTTCAATGCTTGTTGGAAATCTCTGTGGTACCAGACAGGCTTGCAACCCTAGTTAGGCTTTCCCTGCCTCTGCCTATGGAATGGAAATTACTGTTTTTTTCAGTGACCATGAGTTCTGCTAATCCCCCCTGGTATCTCCTACTCCCCAGGTGACATCATGGGCACTGCCATGCAGAACCTGCACCAGCTCCTCCAGATGCCGTTTGGCTGTGGGGAGCAGAACATGGTCCTGTTTGCACCCAACATCTACGTCCTGGACTATCTGAACAAGACAGGGCAGCTGAGTGAGGAGATCAAATCCAAGGCCATCGGATACTTAGTGAGCGGTGAGAGCTTTGTCATTCCCTTACGATGTATGCTGAAATTCCCACTGAGGCCCAGTGAGCAGAAGCAGCAGCATGGCTATCCTAGCAGTACGGCACAGCTCAGTGGCACAGGGGGTTTCGGTATTAATTAGGAAACGCTCTTCTTCCATCTTTTTGCAGGCTACCAGAAGCAGCTGTCATACAAACATCCTGATGGGTCCTACAGCATCTTTGGCACCAGAGATAAAGAAGGGAACACCTGGTGAGTGGCTGGGAGCAGAAATGTCTCAGAAATGAGTTTGCATTGAATTAACATGATGCAGGTAAGAGGCATCCTAACTAGCTAAATCAGATGTATTCACCTGGCTAGGATGGGGGCTCTGTAAGCACTAAGAAAAATGGGTCTCCACCTCTCTGCCTCCTGGGGAGTGTGCAGAGAGAAGGTGATCCCTAAAGATCCAGTTGACTTTTTGCTGCATGCTCCTGCTGTCTCCCATTAAATCCAATGCACTGCAGTGCTCTGTAGCCAGGATCAGCCTCAAAGTGAGCTCAACACCCTTCCTGTGTCCCACCTCGCTACTATTCCTTTAACTACCCTCTCCTGCAGGAGCATGCAGAGACAAAGCAACTCACCAACATGTTGGCTGTAACTCTTTATGCTTACACCGAACTTGAATGAAATGGCTGATTTTTTCTGTTCCTACTTCCAATGCTCATCTCACAGCTTCAACTTTCCCTTTCAGGCTCACTGCCTTTGTGTATAAATCATTTGCACAAGCTAGTCACTTCATCTATATTGATGACAATGTCCAGGCTCAAACCCTGATGTGGCTGGCAAGCAAACAGAAGCCAGATGGCTGCTTCCGAAGTGTTGGGACACTCTTCAACAACGCCTTGAAGGTGGTAGAGAACTACTTCTTGGTCAAATTTACATTCATCTTTATACCCATCATTAATCATTAAGAACATACTATCCCATTACTGTCTAAAACTATACTCCAAATGCCTGTCCTCTGGCAAGGGCTAACTCTCTACACCTTACAATGACTATTTTCAGCTCAGTCAGCTTCTCCACTCTGTATTTTACTTCTTATGAGCACCTGAGATAGGGTTACTGGACTTGAGGGAGTGATGTTTTTGAGGTGATAGCAGCGGGCCTCTTATGATTTAAGAGCCGTCCCTGCTATGTGTACACTCTACTTCCTTGTGGACTGTCTCCAGAGCAGGCCACAGTCTCCCAGATGGGGTATAGGAATTCATATTTAAAGGCTTCTCACTCCTGCCATTCACTGAAAATTCCTCTCTCTGTGTCTTTTTCAGGGAGGAGTAGATGACGAGCTGTCACTTTCTGCCTACATCACCATTGCCATGCTAGAAGCTGGGCACTCCAGCTCGGTAAGGTATTCAGCTGGAACTGGTCCCCAGCTGTTGTCTTGGCTGCCGTGTCTGCTACAAATTGTTCAGGGAGTAAAGGATAGCAGATAAATGGAGAGGGAGCTCCCAAGAACACGACCCTGCTCTGTTTCCACAGTACTTGCCGTGATAGAACAGTTTCCCATCTCTATACCTCTTTGACCACCAGTATTCAAGTAGAAATTGTACAGACCCCAGTGGGATTAGATCTTCTGTTTGAGACAACCAAGACATTAAGTGACAACTTTTAGTTTTCAAATAAGAAAACCTGAAAACTTATACACGATGGCTTAGATTCAAACATGTCTCAGTCAAGAAAGTAAGTTATTGCAGGTAAATCCATAAAGTCTACAAATGGAACTGAAGCTATGTCTGGAAAACAAGGGTCCATCAGAGTAAAAAGCCAATCTGTCCTTTTTTTAAAAGTAGCTAGTACAAAGGGAACTGCAGCAGTGATGTTAGAGTTCAATATATGAATTTCTGTCTCCAACTTGTCATATCCTTTTTGAGGACCTTCCTGATTAGATAATGCATTAGCCAAGACACAGACTCAAACTGGACTTTTTTCACTTGGTGAAATACTATTACAACTCCACAGAATTAAATTAAAATTACACTAGAGTCACTAAGGTTAGAGACTGCTAGGTTGGATTTGTTCAAGACAACAGACTCTTGACTATAGAAGTGCAGAGTGAATTGTGAACGTGGAGATAAGTAGAAGGAATTAGCTGTCAAAGAAACAGTCTGCTGTTTATATCCGAATATCTTCAAGAACACACTGAAAAGCTGCTTAATTTGTACGACATTTCAGCCTGAAATCCCCTCTTAAAGAATTCTGTATTCTCTCTCCTGAAGTCACTATACAATCTGAAGTGTCATTCTTATTGCTGTAATTGTGACAGGATGAAGAACATGTCTAAAGAAAATAAATGTTTGGCCAGGTAAAGACTTCCATCCTGAATTAGACCCATATGACTTGTTTGTTTGTTTGTTTGTTTCTTTTTAAGTACCCTGTAGTCCGAAATGCCTTTTTTTGCCTGGAGACTGCATCTGAGAAGAATATCAGTGATGTTTACACTCAGGCACTCATGGCCTATGCTTTCTGCTTTGCTGGCAAGGCAGAAAATTGTGAATCATTCCTTAGAAAGCTACAGAAGTCAGCAAAGGAAGTTGGTGAGTTTCAGCTTTTTGGGAAATTTGCGAGGTGGGAAGAGGAAACAGATCTTGCTGATGGTACATGGTCTGACCTTAACAGTATTGAGAATAAAGGCACATGAACCAATCTCCACAAATAATCTATGGAGTTAATTTACAGCACACCTGTTGCTTTGTAGAGCACTTGTGGGAAAGATGCCAGGACATGGTACGTCTCTAAGTCAGCACAGAGCAGTGACACCCATAATCCATTCCAGTTGCTCCTCACCTTCTCTTTGTTTATTCAGCTGGCTCACAGCACTGGGAGCAGGAGGACAGGTCTTCATCAGAAAAATCCCTCTCCTTCCTTGATCATGCCCCATCAGCCGAAGTCGAGATCACCAGTTATGTCCTGTTGGCATTGCTCTACAAACCCAACCAGAATCAAAAGGAGCTCACAAAGGCCTCTGGGATTGTGCAGTGGATCATCAGGCAGCAGAACCCCTATGGAGGTTTCTCGTCCACCCAGGTGCCAAAACTCTCTTCTGCTCCCCAGCCAGTCCTAGGAATTGGGGCATGGGTTCAGAGTGCCAGTAGGATTTTGACTATCTAACTTCTCTTCTGTATCTGCTGTCTCAAACACAGAGACATGAAGCTTTGTCTTAGTAAAATCAGAATAGGGTTTTTCCTCTTCTTCTTAACAATGGAAAGGTTAAAGTCATACAAGAGTAATTTGACTAGCAGCAAATACAGATATTTGTATTGGGGATGAGCCTAGAAAACACCAAGTTGCAGCTGTCATATGAAAACGTGCTCTATAGTTTTGTAGAATACACATGATTTGCCACTATGAAAAACTCTGGAAGTTTGGTCTAGTGCTCAGATTTTATGTTCTGAGACCTTCATATGAGTAGAGATTTCTTCTACCCATGCATGTCAGAATGAAATGTCTCCTTCTATATGGGAACCCTAGAATTAAACACAAATTCAGGGTTTCTTTAGTCACTGCTTTGTACTGGAGCTGTTACTTTGACCTCCTCTGCATCAGTCACACTATGTAGCCAACTGTCTTTTACTATTTTCTTTTCCTTCAGGACACAGTCATTGCTCTTCAAGCCCTCGCTGCTTATGGTGAGGCCACCTACAATTCTGTTACACAAAATGTAGTCATGATCGCTTCTGAAAAGGCATTTGAGAAGCTTTTTATTGTCAACAATACGAACAGGCTCCTGTTACAAGAGACTCCCCTTCCTGAAGTCCCTGGGAAATACAGCCTAACAGTGAATGGCAGTGGATGTGTACTTATGCAAGTAAGTGTCTGCCCTCCTCTTCCTTGTGTCTCACATTCTGCATACAATACAGTCATGCTTTTGATAATTCTCCATCCAACTTTTTATTTTTCCTAATTATTTCATTTCCCTAAACTACTTAAATACTACTTTCCCCATCCCACATTTTGACTCCTGTGGAGTCACAGCATGAAAAAAAGAGGAATCCTTTCTGATCAGCAACTAGTTTCTCTCTGGGAGGTCACTCTGGGTACCAGCACCTTCGTTGTTAAAGAGCAGAAGTCTGATGTGTCTGCCATTGATGTAAGCAAGGATCTTCCCCATAAAACCAAGAGCAACATTGCCAGGAAACTTCACTAAGTCTGACACTTGTTTTCTGGAACACAAAGAAAAACCCTTGTCATTCTTGAACAAAAGTCTTTTTTTCCTCTTCCAGACAGCACTGAGATACAACATTCACCTTCCAGAGGGGGCCTTTGGATTTTCACTTTCAGCAAAGACATCAAATGCTTCCTGCTCACTGGATCATCTGGCAAAATTTGATATTGTCCTCATAAGTAGGTAATACGCCATCCAGCTGCACAGGTGACAAGACGCACAGAGAAGATTGGTCTGTGTATTGAGTTCTGCTTGTAAATTCAAGAACCACGAGCTGATTAATGTGTTGGTGATATTTGTCTGTAAAACAGAATATCCCCAAAAACCTTGTGACAGTAACTGATGGTGTTAGCACATAACTGGCCCCCTCATACTAGGGTGCTCCCCAGTGTCTCCCATCCGAGCCCATCAGCAAGTGCATGTGACTGTTTCCAGCCTCCCAGAGTTGTGTGAAGCCAGGAGCAGAAATTTGAGGTTTGCTTCCCCAGGCATGGTCCAGACTGACAGGGTCTCTGTTGTTTCAGTTACACAGGGAAGCGCAGCAGCTCCAACATGGTCATTATTGATGTGAAGATGATCTCTGGTTTTGTTCCTGTTAAGTCTTCCCTGGATAAGGTAAACTATAGGAGAAATATTAAATTAGTTGACCCAGGGACAGAGGAGAAGACTGGTCATGATGAAAACAGAGGCCTGGTTAAGAATCATCCAGCCACAAGCCCGGAAAGGCATTTACATGGCGGCACTGTCTTCATTACTGGGTGGAGGGCATGCCCTACTGGGAGCTGTGAGGACACAGACCTTCCCACATTAAAAACTAGGAAGGGTTCCAGCTAGAGCCTGACTGGCTGGCGGCTGCATCTGGAACCTGGCATTGCCCAGGCAGGGAAAGGGTGGGAAGTCTACCAGCCTAGTTCTAAAACCTACACAACTGCAGTGCATCTCATGCACTTGGGAAGTGCTCATAACCCCCACTAAGTCAAATGGCATTTTTTTCTCAGTCCCCTCCATCTATTCAGCAACATTTGGACTCTAAAATAATCAGCTGCCAGCCCTTGATACCTGGCTAGGAACAGAATGAAACCCACAGTCACGTGGTGGAAGGGTCTGAGGTAGCACTTGTTTTTTAATGGGTTATAAATATATCTGCTTATCACCATTTCTTTGTTTTGAAGCTTGTTAATGGTCATACAGTGATGCAAGTAGAAACCAAGAAAAACCATGTTCTCCTTTATCTGGAAAATGTAAGTTTTGATTACTGTCTCTTCGATTTTCACAAAAGATGCAAACAGCATGGAATAGATTCACCTACAGAGTGGATACACTCTATAAAGTGCATTTATCATGTTTCCTTCCCCATCAGTTTTCCCTTGTATTCACTAAGCTGCTTATTCCTCAAACTGTATGTGACATGCCAACATCCCAAACAGCTTCAAACTGAGACCTGCCCTACTGGCAACTATAAATAAGTTAGTTTACAAAAAGCACATAAAAGTGCACATGGAATTCTTTCTCCTTTCAGTCAATAGCAGATGAACTCCAGAAAAGAGTTTCCTTTGTGTATGTCCCCTTGCTAAACTTCTCATAAACCTCAGTCCTTCCAACAGGACATGAACCACTGCTCTGACCTCCTCTGGAAAAATTTCCATTCCTTCCCTTACAGGTTAGTTAGGGAATGAACTAGTGTAATGTAATCCTTGGATCAGAATTTACCTATTAAAAGTATATTTGCTTGGAAACATGCAGAATTAACTACAGAAGCCAATATCCCAGTGATATATACCGATTCCAAGTTTCTTGGTGGCACATAATGTTCATGTCTGAAATGGGAGAGGTTGGAATGCCAGACTTTGTCATCCTGACTCTCGGGAGATCCTGGAGGACTAATCTCAGTCCTTTGGGACAGTTTTTCCCTCTCAGGCACTAGGATGTGTAATAACTACAGAATTGTGTAATACAAGCAAAATAGGGAACCTCCAACTCCTCGTGCCAGTTTCACTTCGGACTGTCCAAACACACTTCTCATCCATTTGACAGGCAGATAATGGATGTCCCACACCTGTATGTGTGACATCAGTGGGATTTGTAATATACAGTCGATCAGTTACCCCCCTGGTCTGCTCCAGATGGTAGACAAATATAAAGACTTATGTGATCCCTGTCCCTCCATTCCCAGATCTCACAGAAGAAAAGGAAAGAAATAGCTTTCTCAGTTGAGCAGGACTTTGTAGTGACCCATCCCAAGCCAGCTCCTGTGCAGATCTATGATTACTATGAAACAGGTAAGTCTTTGATTTTAACCAGCATGAAGTGTCAGGGAGGGATGGGGACAGTGGGAATACTGCTTGCCTTGTAGGAGACCCAGAACCAGCGCTACTGGAACCAGCACTCCTCTGAACTCTACCAGGAACTGGAGCTAGTGCCAGGGGAGAGACTCATTGCACTTTACTGAGCTTGGTCTCATGCCCAAGATGACAAGTGGGCATGACTAGAAAGTTATGAAAGTGCATGTCTCAGAATGGAGGAGCTTTCAAGGATCTCCAGCTTAAGCACGTGTAGGGTATATCCATCTCCAGGGAAAGGCACAGGAAGTGGTCTCCAGGCAAACAGGAACATTACTTTCCTTCTTTTCCAGAAGAGTATGCTGTTGCTCAGTATACATCACCTTGCAAAGAGACTGCTGCAGAAATGGACTAATGATCAGAAAAGGTAAGCAAGCCAGGAAAAAAATAAAAATCCAAGAAGCAAGGAGGGTGGAGCATTGGGAAATGAGAGAACAGTTCATAAAAAGAAAGGTAAGAAGGTGAAGTATAAAACAGCATGAGCAGAGGGATTGGCAGGGTGAGTAGAGCAATAATTATTCTCTCAGAAAATAAGAGTCTCCACCAGGCTTCTCGGGGAGCAGCAAGAGCCAGTAGACAGATCCTGTCCCACGCAACATGCTCAGTAGTCTCCAAGTGGGGACCACTTTGCTGTTCATGGGAAGAGCTCAGTCTCTCTGTAGGATGAAAATCAAAGTGCAGAATAACAGAGGCTGGGAAATACCTTCAGAGTTTCCTCAAGAACATTGACGCTTAGCAAGGCATAATCTATATACAACTGTGCTTGATAGCCTCCCTTCTGAAGCTTATGCTTCATGGGCACAAGCAGGCTGCTTCACATGGACTTGGAGAAAACTCTTCCTGTCCAGCTAACACATTATCTGGAGAACACTTGAGCTGACATGAGTCATGGAGGTGGCATGTTGACCAGTCAGAGGTACAATGCTGTCTTCTGTAGAGAAGGTTCAGGTCTGTGTCCTGCTCAGCACAGCAGTTACGCTGTTATCTACTGAGCAGTTCCCAGTGGGTACAGGCACAGCTTGCTGCCAGCCCTTGGTCCACCACTTGTCTGTTTTGCACAGAAGGGGCTGCTTACCCTGTACCCTGATACTGCATTTTATATCCTGCAGCTGTCAGTTTGTTCTCATTGAGGGCATTTTCTTTTGCATTTTGCCCTGCAGGACCATCATAAATGTTGAACAAGTGATCAATCACCCTATTTTCTTCTGTCATTAAGTCCTGGAAGGGGCAATTTCAACTTACTAATCACAGTGGGAGTCTGTGACACGATTTGAGCTAGTGTCTGATCCTCTGTTGACTTTCAGAGCACGTCTCTCCAGATCTGTATCATAATCATGTATGCTTTTCCATCAATAAATCTCCTTTTTACATTAGGCATTGGCTTTTTTTCAGTGTTAGAAACAGACATTTTTTAATGACTGTCCACATGTTATGGTTGCTGGCTGGAGGGGGAGTGAAGAGAGAAATGTTACCTGTGCTGCTGCAGTACTCAGCCTCCTCTCCCAGCTATAGCTGCTAACCACTGGCAATTACTGTAATATGCTGCATGTTCGGTCCCTCCCACCTCTGGAGGATAGGACCCATTGCCCACAGCTGCTGAACAGCCCCTCGCATTTCCCCAGCCCTGCCAGGGTGCTGCCTCTGCACCTGTGGCATAGAGGTAGGGGTTTATGTACGGACAGAGATGCCCAGAGAAGCTGTGGATGCCTCATCCCTGGAAGTGTCCAAGGCCAGGCTGGATGAGGCTTGGAGCAACCTGGTCTAGTGGAAGGTGTCCCTGCCCATGGCAGGGAGGTTGGAACTAGATGATCTTTAAGGTCCCTTCCAACCCAAACCATTCCATGATTCTATGATTCTATGACATCATGGGCACTCTGCATTGTGCTTAATAGAGAGAGGGTGAAGAAAGGTGGCAGATTTCTGTCTAGGCCTGGTGAGTGCCTGGTCCCACATCCTGGATCACCCCCTGCCAGGCCCTTCAGTCCACCAGACCGGCCAGAGTCTGTTCAAAACAGATGACAAGCCTGGATTGTGATGTCCTCTCCCAGCCACCAGCAACAAGCCTCCCCATTTTCCTGCATGTCTTGTCGTTCCCCCACTTGGTTCCACTTGGAGCCATGGTGGTTTCTGCAAACACAAACGCTCTCGGGCTGCAGTGTGCCAGTCGGTGGATGGGTGGGAAGACCATGATCCAGGCATGACCAGAGCCCTGGCAGAAGGGACAAAGGGACAAGGAGGCATGGCTGAAGGGGAAGAGAGCAGCACTGGGAGAGAAATATGGATGCAGCTCCTCTCGCCCTGGAGCAACAACTTCTCTGGCAGCTCTGGCCTACTCACCCCAGGATCTCCTGGCCAGGCCTGGACCGGGACCAAAGTTGGGCAACCTTGCGCTCGCCCACCGGGCTGCAACTCCTGGACAGGAGATTCAACCCCATGCCGGCTTATTTGCAGTGTCCCAGGGGCTGACCATCCACCACACAGGAGAGGGAAGAAAGGGATGGATCTGTTGTGGAGAGGGGGAAAAACAGGCCCCGCTCTGCAAGGGCCTGAGCAATAGTTTGAGCAAAGATGGGAATTGTTCAGCGGAGGACTGAGGACTAGCTTGTGTTCTGGAAGGATCCATTTCATCAGGCACTTTGATAAAGTTGTGTGTGGACTTTTGGAGTTCTTCTTCCCAGTAAAAATGAATCATCATGTCAACACATAATATCCCTTTTCCCAAATCGTATTTTTTGAAAAAGGAACTAAATAATTTGAGAGCCAGTGGGATTTGTGCTTCTGAGTTACTCCAGGCTTGGATCTACAACAAATCAGATGCCTGAGTCTCCACAGGCAGCAGGGTGCTCATGGGATCCGTCAGGCATGTGTGAGTTTTAGAATTGCAAAGGGCTGGCCATCCAAGATATGCACAATACTGATGTTGTAAAAAGCTGTTTCATTAAGTTTCACAGATGAGGAATTTGTGGGGCATGAAATTGCTTTGGGTAGAGTGCAGATTTTCATGCCAAGTACCAAAATTAAAACTTCACTGGCAGTAGGAGGGAAGCAAGAAAGGCTGTGAATTTTGCTTTCCTGACACATCCCAAACTATAGCAACTGCCTTGATTTACATGAGCATCAGACTGGACTAAAGCAAGAGAAATCAGTAGTTACAGCAACAAGGTTGAAAAGGAGAGCAGACTGAGTGGATATGGGTACAGGATGTGCATCTTTCTGGGGGATTTGGGGCCAATTAAACCAAGACTTCAGCATCACACATGGAAGTCATAAAAATACCCCTCAGGTCTGGCCAAATGTTATTCTGTTCAGCCAAACATCATTTTCTCAGAAGAAACAAGTCCTGGGGAATAAAACCAAAACAAACCAAACGAAAAAAAAAAAGCAAGCTGCATTTTTATCATTCTTTTGGAGCTTTCTTTTTCTCTTAGGCTAAATCTGAACCACTAAAATATCAACAGCATTATTTCCCATTGCAGACTCTTCCTCTGCATGCTCAAAATTTAATGTTTATTACATGGTGCTTCAAACACCTAAGTGCTGGTTGCAGTCAGATCTAATAAACATCCTGTGCCCATACTCTTCCTCCAGATTTTTACATGTAGACTCTGTTCTCCCTGGCTCCCACTCCCACAAGGAACAGCAATATTCCTTAAAACACATTCTCATAACTCCCAGATTTCTTTAACGTGTGTTTCTTGGTTCAGCTACATGTTTTGTGGCACACACCTGAAACCGAAGCAAGTTTATTGTTGACTAAGCAAGACAGGGAGACCCACTAGACTGAGTGTCATTTCTTCCTCTGTAATCCAATAATCCTGAGGCGTCATACTGTTCAATCCCAGAGACCTAGGGAGTGATCTAGGTCTCAGAAGGCCAAATCTACTTCAATTTTGGCAAGACACACAGGCTAGGCAAACTCTGTTTCCCCAGGTGTGAGAAAATCAGGTTCACTGGCTCAAGAGGTGCTCTGGGCTACGGTACTGTGCCTCCTCAAAGGCACAGACACTGGTTTACTGTGCTCGTTACTGCACAGGTCAGTTTAAAAAAGCTACCAGAGAATGGAGACAGATATGAGCATCTACTGAAACTGTTGTGCAGGTCCATGGACTGAGTCAGCAACACTGAGAAATGGGAAATGGGGAACTTCACTACGGGGGTCTGCCAGTGCTCTCTTGCCTCCTCTGCAGCTTCTGAACCTCCTGTGAATCTCTGCATGCCTCTGTTAAAAGTACATTAAGAGCTGTTCTGAAATGCAACTTATGAGTAAGAAAGGGATAACTAAGAGTATAACCACTTGGGAATGTCTTTGACTAAAATTCTCTCCCAAGCTTACTTCCTTTTGAGTTACAACCTTCTTGCAAGAGTTTTTTGTGTCATGGGAATTGTTTTGCTGCTCATGTGGAGTTCACACTGAAGGATCTGCTAAAGGCTGATGTCATGGCCTAGTTAAGAGGAAGAGGACTTCCAAAAATCTAGAGAAAAAAACCAAATGGATCTCCCTGGAAAGATGAGATCCAGTTTAGCAGCACTCTCTTGCTTAGGCCCCTCGACTGCTCGCCCAGCTCTCTCATTAGACAAAGGAGACCTTTGTCCAGGGAATTTGGTTGCTCCATATTTTGGCTCAAATCCTGTGTGATCCCTGCAGTGTCACAGGTAATAGTGCCAAGCTGTCAAACAATGGCACAGCAAGACCTCAGCTGTATGTCCTCTTTCATTTTCCAAATCTTGTTATCTACCTGTTGACGTGCAGGTCTTCTCCTCACCACCCTCCCTCTGTCAAATATGAAGTGTGAGTGATGTCCAACCAATTCACTGGTCAGAGAAGACCAGAGATGTTCCAGAGGAACCCTCAATCAAGAAATGACGATTGTCAAAATGCTTGCAGAAAACAACTAAACCTTATTCTCTGATCATTTCTGTGTTGAGTTCATTTGCCACCTACCTGGTGGGAAATTAGGGATGTAGGTCCCTGTCTGCAATCAAATGACCCCCACCACCTGATTCATCAGACAGGTGACACAAAAACATGGTCACAACTCTGTGAAATGCTGGCTGTGAAATGCGTAGCATCAAAGAATAGTTTCCTGAGGAACATCAGTCATGCAGCTTAATTTTTTTGTTCAGTTACAATGAAAAGTTGTTTTTAAAAAAATTCACATAGAGAAGCAATACTGTGTCAGCTAGTCCTGCAGCTCAACAGCAAGAGACAGCTTATTTCTGCTCGATCTTCAAAGGGTCAGGAAAATCCTAAAAGCAAGGCATTACATTGAATACAGACCTACAAGCCTCCTTCAAGGAAACTTGTTGCTCTTGCCCTTTCTGATCCTCTTGCAAGCTCAGCATACCAATCTTCAG